GGGTACCACACAAATCACCCTCCCTCTTGTGTGATATTGACGTTTGGAGCATCAGTTATGAAAGGTGATCGGTAGTAATATTGCTTCAAATTATAATCAATAAAACAATTGGGAGACAAAAGGTAGTAAATTGCTGCAAATCATTATCTGATCGATATATAGGTAACGTTCTCTCTGAGTTTTGGATGATTCTCATTCGTACAACATACAATGGCGTAAGTCAAATTGTCACGAAACTTTGGATCATCTATATGACTTGTGAGGTCGTTGTTGGATTGGAGTGTGATCTTATTATATTCTATGTTGTTTTGAAAGTTCAAGGTTTAAGACTAAAAGGAAGATTAATGGTTGATTCTTCAACTACACTTACTGATTTGTAATATTTATCAGCATTCTTACTCAAAATTTAGCCGGACTTATATAATTTATATATTAGTTATCTAATGTATCTAATTTGTTTTTTCTTATTAGGGAAGAATTGAAGATGGAGGAGACCAAAGATATGTTTCTTTACGGAAACTATGTAAAAGAAACTGGAAAATACCAATCGAAATAACTGCACGGGCCTATTCTAAATGAAACTCTCTTTATCATTATGTGTAACACACATATTCATCATGAGGTGACTCCTTTTAATTCACGAGGTGTTAGAAAGATTGTCTAAATACCAGTCTCCCTGGTCTCAATTTGAGACCAGAATGAACCCCGCACCCCATACTTATCTTGCATTTTTTATGTGTAGTATGATTAAATGACTGAACATTCAGTATAATTGTTTTATCTTGCCATGAAACCATAGATCTATCTTCTTCTATCATCACGTAGAGATGATTTATTAGGCGGAGTCCGATAGTGAAGTAAGTTGCTAAATTATCTGCTCTTATTTTACACCATTCTTAGATTGTGGATGAGGTTTCTCAGGTTGCTGAGTTCATAGAAACTACAAAATCTAAATCCTTTTATGAAGTCTCATGCTTTTGGTGTCAATCTTTTTGGTTTTAAAATATTCTTCCCTAATAAGAAAAAACAAATTAGATCCATTAGATAACTAATAGTTTTTACAGGTATCGACTTTTTGTCATACATAACAAAAATAGTGCTTGCCGGCAGCATGTCGGTTGCATTAATGCATCACATTTATGTGTATCAGCTTTTTTTGATATGTAAATAAAACATGTATGTTCCATACAACCATAAATGTACAACTTTTTGTTCCAAGTGCATGCCGATAGTATGCGGTAGTTATCCAACTCTTAATCAGTTGAAGTTGAATCTATTCACTCGTTAACAAGACAAAATATATGTGTTACCTTGCTGTTTGTATTCAATTATATTCTCATAAAACCAGCAAATATTGGGCCCGTGCTGGCACGGACGATTCTCGCCTAGTACAACAAATAAATACACCTTGTAGTTTAATTTCTAGAAATTCAAACTTATTACTTACATACTCTTCGTATGAAATTATCCAAGTTTCTCTCTGATGATCCTCCATCTCCCAATGCATTCTCTAACGTCTTCTTCACTTTCTTGATAGCATTTCTAAATTCATCACTTGATTTTCCATACATTAATTGGTGTATTTTCTCCAATACTTCGTCCTTAGTTATTGGATTTTTATCGCACAAATTAAGTCCAATGTTCCAATCATCAACCACTAATTTCCGATTAGTGAATTGATCAGTGAGCAAAGGGAAACAAAGCAACGGTTGGTGCTTTTGGTTGAGGTCCCGGGGGCCTCGGGTGAGTTTCGGGTGGTCAATCGGACCATTTTTTGCTTTGAGAGTTGCAGAAATTGCTGTTCAGATGTTGCAGAGAAATTGGCCTTCGCGATCGCGAGGGGCCAGTCGCGATCGCGTAGAAGGAATTTGGGCTGGCCTGAGTTTGGTCTTCGCGTTTGCTTTTGAGGTCTCACATTCGCGGAGGGCCCTGAGCTTGTGCTTCGCGTTCGTGTACAGTGTTTTGCGTTCGCGTATAAGTAATTGGGGGTCCAGTGTTTTGCTCTTCGCGTTCGCGTCAGTGTGGTCGCGTTCGCATAGATCTGGGAAATCAAGCATCGCGTTCGCAGTAAAGGCTTCGCGTTCGCATAGTTCATTTTTGAGACTTGGAATTTTTGCTCTTCGTGATCGCGAGGCTTGGGCCACGATCGCGATAAAGGAAGTTCAGTGCTGGGCAGAAAGTTATAAAATATTTCATCCGCAATTTTGAGCCATTTTTCCACCATAGTTGATCATTTTCAGAGCTCTTTGAGGGAGATTGAAGAGGGATTCAAGGAGAAGTGATTGGTGGTAAGATTATTGAACCTAAAACGTGATTCTATTGTGAAATCTAGCTAGAAATTCATGGAAACTTGAACAAAAATGGAAGAACCAGGGCTTGAAATTTTGGAATTTTAAATTAGGATTTGAGAGGTCATTTGGACTCCGATTTTAGTGTTCTTTATATGCATATACTCGTGGAGTGATAAGGAACCTAATTTTGTGGAAATTTCTGAGTTTCGAGAAGTGGGCGCGGGGCTCGGGTTTTGGTAATTTCGGGATTTGTGTCCGTTATTGATTGTTTTCGCTTGGGCTTTGTTCCCTTAGCATATTGTGATGTATTCGCTCTGATTTTGGATAGATTCGATGCGCGTGGAGGCCGATTTGAGGGGCAAAGGCGTCGCGAGCTAGAGATTTCGCCGGTTCGAGGTGAGTAATGATTGTAAATGATATCCTGAGGGTTTGAAACCCCGGATTGCACATCGTAGTGCTATGTTGAGGTGACTTGCACGCCGAATAGCGAGTGTGGGGTAGAGCACCATTGGGGATTGTGACTTGGTCCGTCCCAATTGATGATTTTTACCGCGTATATGACTGAAATTTATTTGTTATCATCATGATTTGGGCTGATTGCCATATTTGGGCTTCATGCCAACTATTTGAACCCTTCAGGGATGTTTGTCACTATTCTCTCACTGTTTTGAATTATTACTTGAACTCAGTCCTGTTGATATCTACTGTTTTTACAACTCAGCCACTTTTACTCAGATTTGAAACTTAAATGATATTTCTAGATGATGTTTTGGGCTGAGAACTACTGTTTTACTAATGCCCGAGGGGCTTGTGATGATTTTCGGACTGAGTGAGGCCGAGGGCCATATGTGAGGATATGCTGAGTGATATGAGGCCGAGGGCCTGAGATACATTTATATGCCACAAGGTGGCTTGAGTGATGTGAGGCCGAGTGCCGAGTGATATGAGGCCGAGTGCCGGGAGATGATGCCACGAGGTGGCTTTATATTGCGCTTGGGCCGTAAGGGGCCCCTCCCGGAGTCTGCACACCCCCAGTGAGCGCCGTCGACGATATATGGATCGGGCTGCACGTCGCAGCGATATATGGATCGGGCTGCACGCCGCAGCGATATATGGATCGGGCTGCACGCCGCAGCGGTTACTATATGATACTATTCTGAGAGTGATCTGAGAGAGAGAGAGAGAGAGCCCGAGGGGCTGAGAGTGTTCTGAGAGTGAGCCCGAGGGGCTGGTACTGTTTTGAGATATTGCCCGAGGGGCGAACTTCTATGTGTTCATCTTTCATATTTACTTGTCATTTTACCTGTTATACTGTGGTATTTGTGCCCGAGGGGCGGATTTTCTGTGCTTATCGGCACTAACTGTTTTTCGATCATCGCGTAACTGTTGAAAAAGGTCATTTTCCAAAGAGGTTTTAAACTGAGCTAAGATATTTCTTAAGATTTCACAGCTTCACCACTTTTCTCAAAGGATTTTACACTGCTTCTATACAACATTGTCGGTTGCTATACGTGATTTCTTACTGCTCAGTTGTTATTTACCTTTATTACTCACTGAGTTGGAGTACTCACTTTACTCCCTGCACCTCGTGTGCAGATGCAGGTATTTATTCGCCCGGTAGCGGGTTTTTGGCAGATCGGAGGCAGAGTTATAGGAGTTTAGCGAGGTGACTGCCAGCGTTCGCAGCACCGCTTTTCTCTCTTTCGTTCATTATTCCTGTTTTGTATATTTTAGACCTTGTAGTTGTATTTATATTCTAATAGATGCTCGTGACTTGTGACACCCCGGTTTGGGCTGTGTTGGGTTGTACTTCTGCTAATTAATATCATTAAGTCATGTTTAAACTGCTTATGAACTATCTAACTGCTTAAAAGAGCTGTTCTGTAATGGTCTGGCTGGCCTCGTCTTCACGAGAGGCGCCATCACGACCGGAGCGGGGTTTGGGTCGTGACATCTATCTTCTTCTGTCATCACGTAGAGATGATTTATTAGGCGGAGTCCGATAGTGAAGTAAGTTGCTAAATTATCTGCTCTTATTTTACACCATTCTTAGATTGTGGATGAGGTTTCTCAGGTTGCTGAGTTCATAGAAACTACAAAATCTAAATCCTTTTATGAAGTCTCATGCTTTTGGTGTCAATCTTTTCGGTTTTAAAATATCTCGAGCACAATATTTAGTTAAGCTCTACGTTTCTTATTGATGAGGAATTTGTATATGCATAAACTGGTGAATATTGCATTTCTGGAATTAAAATGGTATGTTTGCCTGATTTGTTTGGCTTTTCCCTACTGTTTTCACTAAGTCGGCGACGATTTAAGATTGTCCTATTGTGAGCAAAGAACACTTGGATCTTTGGAAGTGACTTATGCTTGAAAGGTTTCAAGAAGAACTGAACATGGTTTTTATCTTTTGCAATATTTAGAGAATATTTGTTGCGCCTGATGGATTCTGACCTTTGAGTGGATCAAAAGTTAATTGGGTGTATATAGCTCATCTTTTGCCATAAGATTGCTAAATGACTCCAGAGTTTCAAGAAAGAGAAGACCTACCATCTAGCAGTACATGTTCCATACAACTATAGATGTACAACTTTTTTGTTCCAAGTGCATGTAGGTAGTATGCGGTAGTTATTCAACTCTTAATCAGTTGAAGTTGAATCTATTCACTCTTAAACAAGACGAAATATATGTGTTACCTTGCTGTTTGTATTCAATTATATTCTCATAAAACCAGCAAATATTGGGCCCGTGCTGGCACGGACGATTCTCGCCTAGTACAACAAATAAATACACCTTGTAGTTTAATTTCTAGAAATTCAAACTTATTACTTACATACTCTTCGTATGAAATTATCCAAGTTTCTCTCTGATGATCCTCCATCTCCCAATGCATTCTCTAACGTCTTCTTCACTTTCTTGATAGAATTTCTAAATTCATCACTTGATTTTCCATACATTAATTGGTGTATTTTCTCCAATACTTCGTCCTTAGTTATTGGATTTTTATCGCACAAATTAAGTCCAATGTTCCAATCATCAACCACTAATTTTCGATTAGTGAATTGATCAGTGAGCAAAGGGAAACAAAGCAACGGAACTTGACACCAAATAGCTTCCAAAATCGAGTTCCAACCACAATGAGTCAAGAATCCTCCGATGGCAGTGTGAGTCAACACTTGTTTCTGACAACACCAAGGTATGATCAAACCACGACCATGAGTTTCACCCTGGAAGTCATCTGGTAATGGGTTCGGGTCATCGGAGCTGACAATATCGGGTCGGAGCACCCAAATAAAACTAACTTTACTTGATAATAAACCATAAGCTATTTCAAGAAGATTATTTTTGGTAAGATGGGCATAGCTACCAAATGACACGTACAAGACAGTTGCATGTTGTTGTAGGTCAAGCCAATGTGTGCAGTCAAACTCGGACCACATGCTCGTAGCCATGTCACTCTTGTTGAACTCGGATGGAAAAACGGGACCTATCGCGAAAAATGTTTTTTCGACTTGTAGAGCTGATATCGTCTCGGGTTCGAGCTCTTGGATAGTGTTACATAAAATAAAGTCAGCACTTCTTACATCTTCAAATGCATTGAAAATGATTTGATGACATATTGAGGTTGTGTCTGTTTCTTGAAGATATGACATTAGGTCCTTTGGTTTGATTGATTGTACTCCTGGTATGTAGTCAATCACGTCCTCACGTTTGCCTGTTGTCAATTAGCAAAAGAACCAAGAATAAAAGTTTAATGAACATTTTAGTACAAAACTAAACGAATTGCAGTAGTGAAATTGTCATAAAAATAGGTTTGTTATATATTTCGACGATGGAAAATGGCCAAATATGCCCATGTACTATGAGAAAAGGTTTAAATATACCCTTCGTTATACTTTGGGTCCAAATATACCATTGTTAGGAACACTGAGGTGGCATGTCACGTGACATCCACCTCATCAAATGTTAGTATCTTGCAGGATTGAATGTCCATCTTGGACAAACTTAATGGAAAAGGGGTATATTTAAACCAATAATATTACGGTTGGGATATAATTGGACCCAAAGTATAACGAGTAGTATATTTAAACCTTTTTTTTTATAGTACATAGGTATATTTGGCTCTTTTCCGTTTCTACTATATATATCGAAGTCAAAATAAGAAGGACAAAAGGCGATTATTCAAATGGAAAATCAATTAAGGCTTGTTTGGTTACCAAAGATTGTTAATACTAATTAATTACTTCTATATAAAAGAATCTTGTATTAGGATAAGAAAAATTTTCTTATATGATATACCTATACACAGGAAATTTGTGATTCAGGATTTAACTTTAACCTACCATCACATATAGACGATGTCAACAACAACAACCCAGTGTAATCCAACAAGTGGGGTCTGGGGAGGGTAGGATGTATGCAGCCTTACCCCTACCCTAAAAGGGCAGATATACCATATATATATATATGGCGAATTAAACATATAGGAGAGAAGGAAAATGAACTTAGGGAGGCTTACCAGTACAACCAAAGTGGCCATTTAACTTCAAAAGATGAAGATGATAATAAAGGGTAAAAACCAAAGCTGGCTCTGTCCAAAAAGATATGTACAAAAGTCCATATTTCTTGGCCAATTTTCCTGGAAACACAAAGAAAGAATCAGCAATCAAGCAATTCACAGGAGGATCGATTTTCGACTCCATAATTTTCAGTAAAGCTTCCTCTACATGAGCTGAGAACACATGTAACAAAGCAGCCATGAATTGGTTATGGTTCAATGACCGGTCGAAATTTAATGGAAGTCCATCAGGTACTGTCACGTAACGTATATCTAGCCCGAGACCTCGATAGCTAGAAAATATATCGTCCTGACTATTCTTTTGAGTGATCTGATCGTGTGTAGATTGAGTGTTGATGAAAGTAATAGTGAAGCCTTTTTGTGCAAGTTTGATGGTTAGATTGATTGTGGGAATAACATGGCCTTGTAGTGGATAACATACTAATATTGCATGAGGCTTTGGTCTTGAATCCACCATTTTTGGTCATAAATTTTGAACTATATGCAAATAGACAAAGGTTGTAGAGGCAATGAAAGAGAACTGATAAGTTTTGTATGAATGACCACAAGCAAGAATATGCTTTACTTTTGAAAATGATACTATATACAGGGAAATGTCATGCAGAATATTATGCTTGCTAATATTAGAAGTCTCGTCCGTTATCATATTCCATTGTTGTTACTATTATTTGTTGCTTGATTGCTTTACTTTCACTGTTTCTTGAGCCGAGGGTCTATCAGAAACAGTCTCTCTATCTTTATTAGGTAAGGATAAGATCTACGTACACACTACGCTCCCCAGACTTCATGTATGGGATTACACTGGATTTATTATTTTTGTTGTTGTTGCTAAATTATTAAAAGTGAATTTGTGAAAGATAAGTGTAAGTGAAATTAAATGACCATATATACCTCAAAATTCATTTTATCTTTAAAGTTCATTTTGCAAAAATACTTTAGTTTCTCTTTAACTAACTAGAGGAGGCTAAAGTATATAAGAGTTAATTTCTTAAATGCTCACTTAAATTAATGAAATTGTACAATAAAGTCATTTACTCCCTCCATTTAAATCTATATGAATTTTTTCGAAGCAAGATGATCAAATTTGTTTTCACTGTAATTTCAGACATAGATTCCTTAAGTTTTTTGAAATAAAATTTACATATTTAGAATCTATATAAAAAAATACTATAAGTTACAATCGTTAAAAAAAGGGCAGCCCGGTGGACTAAGCTCCTGCGGGGTCCGGGGAAGTGTCGGGAACCAAGGGCTTATCGTACGCAGGATTACCCTGCATTTTTGCAAGCACAAGGGTCTATAAGTTACAATACTAGTTAACAATTGAAAATATTTAAAACTTATTTATAAAAGGCATGGTCAAACAAAATTTTGTTTGATTCCCCAAAAGTAATAGGTTTATTCTTTTGAAATGAAGGGAGTATTTTTTTCTTTTTTGTAACAATAAAATCATATAGCTATTTAAGAGTATGTCAAAAAAAATTCTAATTTATAAAATTATACATAGCCATGTGCTGACGTGCATAGGATATCAAAAATATTCTCATTTTCTTACTTCAAAGTGAAGTCAAGGAAAAGTATTTAAAAAATAAAAACAAAACAAATAACCTAGTGCTTTTGTTTGTACCTTGTTGGAAATTTAAGAATTTATGGCAAAAATTAACCATCACAGACCTTTTATCAATTTATTATATAAGTTCACTTTAATTCTCAAGATTATCCTAGAGAAGGTTTTGCTTTTAGTCCTTTTTCTTTTTCCTCTTATTATTTCATAATAATCCCAACAGAAATGTTGTCACCAAATGACATAATACCCATATTCAACTCTACTAAAAAACATTTTCTCAAACGTCAAGTCTTTGTATTTTACTTCTGTATAGCTAATCATTAAGGAGAGGTCCAAATTTCGAAGACTTGATCCAATGCCTTGAGTGTAGTGTTTTTAATTGAGAAACTTCCAGAAACCATTATGTTTTAGTAGTTATTAGCTAATTGTAGCTATCATTTACAATATTACTTCCTATAGCTATATTTTTAGATTGTTTAGAGTGTATTCGATGTATTTAAGCTACTGTATTCATGAATACAGTAGCATTTCTAGGCGTGAATCTGGGGATTACAGGTAGACAGATTTTTGTATTCGAGTGTATTCGACTGTATTCATGGCGTGAAACATAGGATTACAGCTGGACAGGATTGTTGTATTTGACTGTACTCACGGCGTGAAACAGGGGATTACACTGTTTTTAAACGGAAAGTGAATCAGTTAACATAATAGACTCCTAATATAACTCAACAAACTCAATTATAACACATAAATTTTGTATTTCCAGTTATAAAAAAGATTCTCAACCGAAAAACTCTCCAAAAACATAGCAATCTTCTGAGAAATTATATAATACATCTAAATACATAAATTATATTATAAAAAAAAAACATATGAATACATTCATGGAATATAGCGAGACAGTGAATACAATGAAATATATAGAATACAGCGGGATAAATTGAAATACAATAAAAAAAAAGACAATGAATACAATGATATAGATAGAATACAGCGAAATTCATTGAAATACAATGAAATATATTAACAGAAAATTCAAGTTGCTCAACCCCAAACTCAGTTCGTCTTTGTTCAAGAACAACCTTAATGTCGTCTCGCCATCACCATTGCCTCCGGTTGCTGTTGTTACGCCGGAGAAAATTTCTATATTGGATGATTGCTTGGCAGCCCAAAAGTCTTCGCTGGAAAAGATGAAGTGCTATGAAGTAATCACCTCCCGAAAATCGTACCAAGGATTCTATTGGCGTTGCTGTCGAAGGCGGCGTTTCTCTTCCGTTTAAAATTCCAATAGCAGTTTATTTTCTGGAAATCATAGCTTACAGAATCAGAAGCCCAAAGTTGAGTAAATCTATCAAATGTAGTAGCAATTATTTTCTCAAATGCTAACAGAAGAATTTTACCCTCTTTTTTTCGCGTTTTCTAGAATGGGGGAAGTGGATGGAGTGTATCAAATTAGAGAGAGAACGTGGAGTGAGAAGTTTACATCAAATAGGGTAATTATGTGAGAGAAAAATCTGAAAAAGGAGAGAGAAAAATAAAAAATAGCATATATAATGGCTTAAGGGGAGGAAGTGACCAAAAATGGATATTTTGCTATAAACATTAAGAGGTATCTATAGAATATAATATTTTAAAATAGTATTTATTTATAATATTTTATTTAATGAAATTAAGTCTCTGTTATGGATCTTAATCATACAGAACTATTCAGACCAATTACGTGGTTATGAAGTAAAAAAAAACACACTTAATGATTAAGATCTGCATAATTAAGATTCAGCCTTTAAAAACAAACACACTTAATGTATGAATCTGAATGATTAAGATTCAGACCTCCATTAAGTGCAAACAAATGAGGCCTTAGTGTTCCATGTTAAAAAACCGATTTTGCTTCATATTTGTTATAAGACAATAAGAGTAGAAGAAGAGTATTGCAGAGAAAATATATAGAGAGAATTCTTACTGATTTGGGTTGAATTACAATGGAATAGAACCCCTTTATTTATTGGAGAAAGTGACTTAGCCACCGAGTAACAAACCCTAAAATCTCTCTAAAATATAGACATTCACTTTGAATACAATTCTATTTATAACACCCCCCCTTGAATGTCTATTCAATAGATAATGTGCCTCGTTAAAATCTTAACTAAAATAAACCAATGGAAAAATATTTTAGTGAAGGAAAAAGAGTACATATATATAACAATATGCTTTTTGGTTGCCTCGTTAAAACCTTGTAAGGAAAATCCAATGGGACAAAACCTTGCAAAGAAAAAAGAGTGCAACGCATATTAAGTACCTCTGATAAGAGCATCAATTTACATCTTTAAGCCGTCACATTTCAATCTTGTGTACCATCTTCAAAAGATCGTTGGTAGAGATTTGATAAATAAATCAGCAATATTGACTTGACCGAATTATTGCACCTTGAAATCATCATTCTTGATAGATATGTAATGTCTAATTTCGTGGAATGACCTTTTCAACATCTCCATAGATGTAAAAATTCTCGCTGTCACATTATCATGCTTATAGTTATTGCAAAATACATATGTGCACAAATTGCACTTAGGATGTGGTACTTCAGGACCAAGATTGTGTATGCTTTAAGCGATTTAAATCATTCAGGGATTGTCATATAAGTTAAGTCACATGAGCCATATAAATGAACTTTAGATGCATATCACATTTTCATGTCATGCTAGACATATAAGGTAGATAAAGTTGATTGCACACATTGTTCGCTTTATAATTTCAAGTATTTGAACAAGAAGTCCAAAACGACATATCTTTCATATGAAATCAATTCTACTTGAATTGTTTTTCCAGACTTAAGATCCTCATATATGTTCGGGGTTATCATAGATGAGCCGACGAACATTTTATATCTGTTCCAAGCTCCTTTTTTGTTGATAAAGACATAACATAGAGATCTCTTCATTCATATTTTCATGTGCCTGAATCTCTCCTGAAATTTTATGAAGTATTATATCATGTGATTTTCTAGATCACTTGCCTCCTTATTATAATCATTTTGATCATTTGCTCATCTTCTTTTTCAAGAATTTTATTTGAAACCGATTTGTCTATACAATTTTAGCGTACCATAGACTTGGTCCTTCTAGGACTAATTCTAATAGGAGCATTTGTAATAATATATAATTACTTTATTTGGGTCAACATATGCGTCTGACATATTTTGCAATATATTGCAGGTGAATTATCTTTTTATGACCTTCAAGTTCATATTATCTTATTTGAGGAGACAATTCATCCCATGTAACTTTTTCTCAACTGTTTATTTTATCTGCCCCTCATGTTAGAAAAAATAACATGCTTCCTCAACTTTGAAAATCCATCTTTGTGTGTTATGGTGTTAATCAAAATATACACCGCACATCAATAATAATAAGATGGAATTATTTAGTTCCTGATCACCCTAAACCACTTATGAGGGAAGAATGCAATATACTTTCGTATATAGTGTATATCAAACTGATATAGATAAATTTTTTCTCGTAAGTAATATTTTTGCTATTAAATGGAGGCACTCAATAAATTATTTTGCTAAACCAGACCGTGATGTGAACCAACTTATCAAGATAAACTGTCTTGAATAGGAAATATGAATATTATGCTCTAAATTAAATTATTGAGCAAGTTACCTCGCAAATACTAGGTTGCAGGTTAATAGTAATCGCACATTAACCATCTCATAGATGTATCTTACGTGGTATACATGGCAGATGAATGGTCCCATATTCACCTTTGATATTTCTAGCATTCATGGGATTCAATCCCAATATTAGTTGATCTACTAATTAATGAGAACAAGCAACATAAGAGAATTCGTAAAGAACTTTCTAGTTCTTTAATGTTTACCCATGTGAATTCTCTTTTATTTTTGCACATCATACTTAAATTAACATGGTTAAACTAATTGTGCCAACTGAATAAACTATCAGTATAGATAAACTTCAGGT